TCAAAATATATCTCTCTTTCAATGAAATATTTGGAATAAATTAAGTACTAAGAGAGAAATAAGAAACTTTGATGAATATGATAATTTTACAAGTTTGATTCAATTAATTAAAGTTTTCAATATAAAGAAATAAAAATATTTATGCAATGTAAATGCAAATATCTTCTTAAAAAATATATATATCCTTTAAAATTGATATAAATAAGTTAAGCTAAAAAAGAAATAAAAAACTTTTATAAAATAAATGATTCAAGAAGTTTGGTTCAACAATCAAGGTTTATGTTACGAAAAAATAAATGAAATGAAAGTTAAAGAGTAAGTCGAAAAAAGATATTTCACAAGGAAACTCTTTTCTAATTGTTTTATGAATGCAAAGTGAAATGGTATTTACAACAATCAAAACGCCAAAATTTCTGACCAACTCGACGTCCGCCACTGAATCGGACGACTGAACTAGTCATTGTGCGTCAGAAATCAGAAGGGTTAAAATTTTGACCATTGGACAAATTAGACCTCCACATGGTCAACTGGACGTTCGTGTTGACTTTGACCTTTTTTTTTTTTTTTGAAAAATGTGGGCTTTTGAAGAACGTTTTCAATTTATCTTTCAAGATAAGTAATATTTTAAATTTTCATTATCAAATTGAAACATTTACCTTTTTGAAAAATAAATTTTATGTAAGTATTTTTATGAAATAATCTTTTTGTACATAAAACGATTTTTGAGATTTTATCATTCATTGCTAAATATCGAAATATTAGTACTTTTACATTTAAACTAATAAATTTAGTTTTTTATCTTACTTCAAAATTTACCTCTTAGACTTCTCGTCTTGATCTTTCTTTCATGTCATCTCTATACTCTTGATCTTGCTTTTTCTTTACGTTTGTCTTTTAAGTTCTCTTCTCGAATGATTTAATTTGAATGCTTAACTTCCACTTTGATCTTCATTTTAAATTCAATTTATAATGTGTTGATTTTGACAATATTTGATTGATTTTAAAATAAAACTACCATCACTCAAAATCAATTGTCAGAGAGAATATTAATCTTATTTGTTATGATCAAAACAATAAGAATGAAATCAATCATAGGTCAACATGGATCTCATAAAATGTGTGGTAAAAATTAATTGTTGATTTTGATTTAAAATTTTAATTGAATTTTAATCCAAACCAAATAGGGGCTAAGTAGTTTTTTTTAAAGAAAAGACCGTCGTCAACATTTGGTCACAACCAAAGTTAAAGAAAAGGCATATCATTTTAGGTGCAAAATCGCACAAGATCCATGTTTAGAGTATGATTGTGTCTCGTTTTCTATCAAAAATGCATTTTAAAATAGTATTTTGATGAAGAATGTATGTTTAAAATTTTCAATTTTCGTGTAATATTATTTTATTAAAAAAATTGTGATTGAAAATAAGAAAGAGAAAAATGTGTTATAAAAATATTGGGGACCAAACAAGGGCTATGTTAATACATTTTGATAGCCGTGCACCATTAACATTTTGCGATCAATGAAAGTAAGTTGATCTTGAGTGATGATCAACAACAAGTGCCTGGTGTCCGCAAAGTGTGGACGTCATTTTTTTATATATATACATAAACCCATAGTAAAATCAAATCATTTCTTTCTTGTATATTTTAAAAGTATATAATACATTTAAAAATAATATTAATCAAATTTATAAACACCTATTTTTAACACTAATCAAGTAAAAGGTGGATTGCCTCTGAAAAAAAAAGTTTCACAAATGAACAATAAGCCCTCGTTTGGCCCCCATTTTTTTTCATTACATTACATTAATTTTCTCTCTATCTTCATTTCAACCACACATTCATCAAATAAAATAATATTACACACGAATCAAAAACTTTTCATTACTTTCTACCACACATTCTCCCATCAATCACCATTCCAAAAATTTTCAACACTCCAAAATGGGGGCCAAACAAGGGCTAAACGGCGGACTGCCTAAGAAGCAAGTAGAGATTCAAAGTCAATAATTGTGAGTATGGATAGAAGGAAGTCCATATTACCCTTAAA